TTTTTAATCTACATTGTTCCTCGATAATTATCATAAATCTACAAATATATTGCTTAATCTACATTGTTCCTCGATAATTATCAGATATGTTAAATTAAAAATATGTTATTGAATTTGTTTTTCGTTTTGCAAGTAAAATTAACGCCTATATATTATAAGATTTTTGTACATGGTCAAGAGAGGCCGTTGCGACGAGATCGTCAGAGGGCCCTTAAAATCGTAGGACCGGCACTGCCACAGGTTTTTCGTCTGTAAGATGCTGCTGATAAGTAGTAACGTCCATTGTAGAAGATAAACATGGATAAAATGCAGCTGAATTGGAACTGCACAATGACTTACGATCGAAAGAATTACTTATACACGGGTTATTCAGCTGGCAGCATATGGCTGTTGATGTTCATATTTGAGACAAATCAAAGAAGGAAAAACTCGGAGAAGCTAACCACTGGAACATTATGCTTGAAAACAGCAGCAGGTGAGAGTCTAACCTCGACAGCACTTGGGGAGGGAGCCGGTTGCCTCTGGTGAACTACTTCATCGCAAAGCAGCAGCAAGGCAGCAAGCCTTGTGGTGTTCGATGAGCTGCTTATAGCTGAGGCTGCAAATTGCAATGGAGGTCGGCAGGTCGCTGGGGAGATCGAGGCGACCTGGACTTAGACCAAACTCCAGCGATGCAAGCAAGGACAAGGCAGCGAATCTTGTTGTTTTGTTGCACAAGGCGGAGGACGACTTTGGCCAGGTCCAGGTAGCGCAATTACCGAGTACTTGTTGTCCCCGGATCGCCGGCGCCCGTCGCCGGAGATGAGGAAGATGGCCAGTGAACTCAAACGCGAACGCAAACAAGCACTGAATTGGAACACACACGCGAACACAGTGGTTTTGGTGTTGCCCAAACGCGACAACTTTTTTGACTCTGTATTGCGGTAGTTGTAGATTACAGAAACTAAAAACATGCGGCGATTAGCCACGACGCGGCGACCTTCACGCTCCACCAAAGGCCGTGCCATCCCACGAGCCGGACCGTGCGGATCACCTCCACTTCTACTCCATGCGCACGCCACGAGCTCCTACTCTCCCGCGCCATCCCACGGGCCAACTTGCAGCATGCGCTGGTGAACTACTCCTAGAAAGCAGGCAAGTCTCCGCATGAACGCAGCATGCGTCAGACCGGTAAACTGAATACAGATAACTCGGAGCAAATGGTAAGACAGAGCGTGGATTATCCAACAATCTCCCCCTAATTCATGCTCTAGTCTTCAGGTTGACGACGCCGATCTGTTCACGAAGCTCACAAAACCTCGCGCGCCCCAGCGACTTCGTCAGGCCATCTGCAAGCTGCTCCTGTGTACTTGCAAATTCCACGCAAATCCTCCCGTTCTCCACACAATCTCGTATGAAATGAAACTTGGTGTCGATATGCTTACTGCGATCGTGTAGAACGGGGTTCTTGCTCAGGGCGATTGCGGACTGATTGTCCATTCTCAGAACAGGCTGCTGAACCTCATCACCGGTGATGTCGCCCAGCAGCTGAACGAGCCACATGGCCTGGCATGCCCCCGCTGCTCCGGCCATGTACTCCGCTTCACATGTAGAAAGTGCCACAGACTTCTGCTTCTGCGATTGCCATGTGATCGGCAGTTTCCCAAGGAAGAAAATCACGCCTGCAGTGCACCTTCTTTCATCAATATCTCCCCCCAAATCACTGTCACTGTAGCCCGTCAGCCTATTGTCACCACTCTGCAGTTTGGGGTAAACGATCCCGTAGTCGATTGTGCCTGCAATGTAGCGCAGTATGTGCTTGACGGCCACCATATGCTCCTGCCGGGGCTTCTCCATGAACCGACTGACATACCCAACGGCGAAGGTAATGTCAGGCCGTGTATGAACTAAGTACCGCAAACTTCCCACCAGACTGCGGTATGTAGTTGGATCCACCTCCGGCGTAGTGCTCTTTGTTGACAGCTTCAAGCGGACCTCCATTGGTGTGGAGATCGGTTTGCAGGCCCCCATGCCCGCCTTGTCGAGCAGCTTCCTGGCGTACGCCGACTGCCCCATGGTGATCTTGTTTCTCTCTTGCTGCACCTCAATCCCGAGATAGTAGGAGAGAAGGCCAAGATCACTCATGCGGAACAGCCGTCGCATCTCCTCCTTGAACGCGCCAAGATCACCAGGGTTCGCGCCGGTGATGATCAGGTCATCGACATAGACACCCACCACCACGCGCGACTTCCCCATGCCTCTGGTGTACATGCCATGATCACTGGCACATCTGCTGAAGCCGAGCTTGCGCAGGCTGCTGTCAAGCTTTGTGTTCCAAGCCCGCGGCGCCTGACGAAGTCCATACAACGCCTTCTTGAGCCTGAGCACCTTCCCCTCATGGCCTGCAGCAAGGAAACCCGGTGGCTGACGAACGTAAACCTCCTCCTTGAGCTCCCCATTGAGGAACGCTGACTTGACATCCATGTGATGCACAAGCCAGCCCTCCTGTGCTGCCACGGCGAGCAGCAGTCTGACGGACTCCATTCTGGCGACCGGCGCGAACACCTCATCAAAGTCCACACCCTCCTTCTGGACATATCCCTTCGCCACCAGGCGTGCTTTATGCTTGACAATGGCCCCCTTCTCATCACGCTTTACTTTGAACACCCACTTCAATCCGATCGGCCTGTGACCATGAGGAAGGTCGACAAGCCGCCAGGTGCCGTTCTGCTCGATGGAGGCCATCTCCTCTGCCATGGCCTTGCGCCAGCACTCTTCCTTGCGTGCCTCCTCAAACGTTGCTGGTTCCTCCCCCACAGCAAGTAGGAGGTCTTCATCTACCTGGAACTCCCGTTCGACGAAACCGGGAATTCCAGCGGGTCCGAGCACATTGTCAAGTGCTCTGAACCGCAGAGGCGCCTCGTCGTCATGGTCTGCATCGAGGTCTTGCTCCCCTGAGGGTGGTGTCACGAACTCCATGGGTGCGCTCGGTGTAGAGGATGCAGGTGTGCCCGCGTACGCCGCCTGCGGCGCGTTTCTCCGCGCGCGCGCCGACGACGCCGTCGCAGGGCGTGCTGGCGTCGACGGTGCACCACTTGGAGGTGAGCTGTGGTGACCGTGGCTTCCCCGGTGTGACGTCCGGCGTGCGTTGTCTCCGCATCTCCATGGGGACGTCGTGGCTGACCGTCACCGTCGATATTCGACGATGAACGGATCGGCATCCTCCGTCGCGGCGCTTCGTCTCGCCCCAATCCCACGGGCGTGTTTCCTCAAACACCGCGTCCGTGTGAGATGTGCGCGCCCGTGCTGTGGTTGAAGAACCCTGACGCCTTGCTCCGGCTCGTACCGATGAACACCATCTTGGTACCGCGATCATCAAGCTTCCTCACGGTGGCCACCGACCACCTTGACATGTGCGACATAGCCGAAGGTGCGCAAGAAGTGAACAGCGGTTTAGTACCATACCAGCCTCATAGGGCGCCATACCCTCGACGCTCTTTCTTTGTCGGCGATCGGTTCAAAATGAAGACCGCCACAAGACCGCTTCTCCCAGAACCGCCCGACACGTTCATCGCCTTCAACATGCTTCGCCATGCCGAGGATGGTCTGGTTACGCCGTTCCACCACCCCATTCTGTTGGGGGTGTAAGTATGATGAGATGCCTTTGAACGCCTTGCTCCGCGCAGTAGTAGTCCGGAACGGCGCGACGTGAACTCGCCCTTCGCGATCGCAGACGCAGGTGCCGAAGTTTCGCCCGCCCTCGCCTCGAGACGCGGCTGCGGCTTGATCGGTAGCGTCCGCCGCGCTGGTCTTCGAGTGCAGCAAGATGAGCCACATGTAGCGGCTCTTGTCATCGCACGACGAGGAGGAACATCCTCTTGTCGCTCGGGTTTGCGGCGTGATCGGACCAAGACAGATCCGCGGCGCTTAGCTCGAGCGCACGGATGCACGGAACTTGACGCGCCGCCGAACGCGGATGACGACGCGCGCTTCCTCGCAAGACAGCTCGCACACTTGATCGACATGGTCTATTGAGGGCGAGACCCTCACCATCTCCCCTTCGACAACTCCTTCAAATTTCTTGAAGCCGAGGTGCCCGAACTCGGCGTGCCAACGCCCAGCCACCTCGGGCTGCGCAGCGGCAAGCAAGGCGATCGCTGTCGATGGCCAGAACGAGGATGTACAGGCGGTTTGGTGAGCGCGATACCTTGGAGAGCAGTCGACGCCTTTGATCCCAAATCCTCAGGACGTCGTGCTCGATCACGATCTTGTACGCATCTTCATCGAGTTGCCCGAGGCTAACGATGTTCGCGGTCAGCTTTGGGATGTAGTACACACCCCCAAGCTCCTGATGCTCGCCGTTCTTGGCCGGAACAGATTGTTCCGCGCTTCTTCGATGGCAACGATCGAGCCATCCCCGAACCGGACGGTGCCGTGGACGCCGTGTCGAGCTCGGAGAAGAAGGTGCGACGCTCATCATATGATTGGTTGCGCCGTGTCGAGGATCCACCGAGTGCTCCCCTCGCGCTCTTCTCGCCAAGTTGAACGAAGAGCTTGTCCTCGCGGATGTGGATCGGCGCCCGCCGCCCTCCGGGTTCTCGGACGGGCGCGTGCCGAGGCTCGCCGTCATCACCCGGCGAAGACGTTAGGGGCGTCCTCATCCTCCAAAGCATCCACCCTCGCCATCGCCGGAGTTGAGGACCCAGTGGGCCTCTCGCGGTGAGACCGTCGTGGTCTCATCGCCTTCCCGGTGAAGATCCACCGGGTGGGCCCCTCCTCGCCGAGAGTCGCGACACGAAGTTGAGCGCCGCCTCGGTCTCTTCTTCGCTTGGGCGCGTCGCGCGCCTCGTCTCTCTTCTTCTTGCGACACTCGCGGGCCCAATGGCCCGTTTTGCCTTAATAGGCGCACTCGTCGCCGCAAGCCGCTTCCCCTTCTTCTTGTTCCCGCCCACCGCGTTGCCATGGGGGGGCTGGAACCGCCACGTATTCCATCACGGCCGCGCCCACCGCTGCCACGACGTTCATTTCTTTGAAGAGGCCTTTCCTCCTCCAGATGCACCTTCGCCCGAGAGTTGCAGCTTGGACACGACGCGGGCCACCAACTCGTCCTCGGTGAGATTGAGTCGCGCCACGGACCCAGTCCCACCAAGGTTGAACCGCTCCTCCGCTGCCTTGAGTCTCCCGATCAGCTCCTCCAGCGAAGTGTCGTTGAGATCCAAGAGGGTCTCAATCGCCATCACGATCTGCAGCGTATCAAGGCGGAGCGGCTCGCAGGAACTTGCGCGACAATCTCCGGCTCCGTGAACGGCACGCCGAGGACCTCGAGCTGGTTCGCCCAGTCGCCGAGGCGGATGCCGAACTCGCCCACCGCGTCTCGCCGTCCTTGAAGGCGAGATCTTGAACCGCCGACGCAAGCGTGTTCGCGCCGCCGCTGGCGCGCTGGTCGACTCCAAGGTGCATCTTCTTCAACGCGTCCCACGCCGCCTTGGCCGAGACCTTGCTCGCGATGCTCCCTTGCATCTCCTCCGGCAACCCCAGAGTGATCACCTCTGTATGCTATGCGATCATCGACGAAGTCTGCGCGTGCCGATACTCACCGCCTCCCACAAGCTCCGCTACCGAGCTTGAGCTTCATGAGCGCCGCCCATGAGTAGTAATTGGTCTTGGTGTGAGGTAGGGTACTTAGCTTTCCCGCTCTCCTCACGCACAACCCGGTGGATCACCGAGCCGCGGTCACCACCGGACCCTTTCGCGCCGCCGTCGCTACCGCAGATCGGGAAGACGACCGCCGTCGACGATCCGCCATGAACGCCGCTGCGGTTGCTTGGTCACGTGTCCACCGCCGGAACTCGGCTCGATACCACTTGTTGTCCCGGATCGCGGCGGCGCCCCGTCACGGAGATGAGGAAGATGGCCGGTGAACTCAAACGCGAACGCAAACAAGCATCGAATTGGAACACACACGCGAACACACGTGGTTTTGGTGTTGCCCAAACGCGCGACAACTTTTTTTGACTCAGATTGCGGTAGTTGTAGATTACAGAAACTAAAAACATGCGGCGATTAGCCACGACGCGGCGACCTTCACGCTCCACCAAAGGCCGTGCCATCCCACGAGCCGGACCGTGCGGATCACCTCCACTTCTACTCCATGCGCACGCCACGAGCTCCTACTCTCCCGCCGCCATCCCACGGGCCAACTTGCAGCATGCTTATTTGGTGAACTACTCCTAGAAAGCGAGCAAGTCTCTCCGCATGAACGCAAAGATGCGCCGACCGTAAACCGAATACTGAGATAACTCGGAGCAAATGGTAAGACAGAGCGTGGATTATCCAACAGTACTCTCACACAGGATGCCCCACATGTGGGAAATGAATCAACGCAGAAACTACCCTTTGTAGATTTTTTTTTGTTTCCATAAAAATACCATCTCTGGATTGTATGTTCTTTCTTGGACACATTGCCATGCCAAACGCAAGCCTTTTGATGCAGCCTTTCTTTCTCTATCATGGTCCCTTTGAGCTTAGCTTTGCCTTGTTGTCTGTACTCACCACCAACCACGGCCGTGTAACAATAATTTACGTTTGCTTCTTTTCGTCATCTCCTCACGGTCATTTACATATCTTATTCTCGTACAATCATACGTCTGCGTCTCAGTGATAATTTATGCATATGGATGGACAAGTGAGTGCAAAACTTGTAGTCATTAGTACCAGCTGACGACCGAGAAAAAATTGTTTTCCTGAAAAAGAAGTGACAAGGACATAAGGAAAGGAGCGTGTTACAAATCCAATACATGCTGAAGCACTTGCTACCCTCAAAAGCTTTCAAAGGGTGGAACAATTGAGAATGACCAGAACTGATGCAACAAATCTTGAGAGGGCTGAAATCAAACGAGTTGGACAGGAGTGCTGAAGGGTGCCTCTTTTGCGAAATCAGAGAAATCATGCACCAATTATTTGTTCAGTGTGTGGTTTGGGCATGCCCGCGATCATGCAACAAAGTGGCTGATAGCCTTGCTGCTCATGGGGCGAGCGTTGTACGCTCTGGTTCGGAGATCTACGTGAACCAAGTCCCCGACTATGTAACCAATTTGGTCTTTGGGATCTCCCTAGAGCCACTGGTTAGTGGAAACTCTATTTTCCTTACAAAAAAAACCATGGCCGTGTAACATTAGTTTACCTTTGCATCATTTCATCACCTCCTCACTGTCGTTTACATAACTTATTCTGGTATGATCATACGTCGTGTCGCAGTGATAATATATGCATATGGACATGTGAATGCAAATCTTGCAGTCATTAGTACCAGCTGACTGAGAAAAAAATGTTTTCCTAAAAAGAAGAAGAGACAAGGACAGAATGAAAGGAACCTAAATCCTAATTGAATCAACCAAAAATATTGGAACAGAATAATTGTAACTGCAAACACTTGAAGAAACCCACAAGCTCAAGCGACCATGGGGGCGTTCGGCTGGTGCAAAATTCCTCCGGAATTTACTGTTTACAGCTGAAAAATACTGTTCACGCTCTCACAAATTCCTCCAGATTCCTTCTAGCGAACAGGGCCCATGTGATTGGTGATGTGATCAGCATAAATAAATTATTGAAGCGTTCCTTGATCAAATTCAAGGTGGTATGTGTCTTGGTAATCGAGTGTCAGGTCTCCTTAGTCAATGGCCTTATTGACAGCTTGGAGAAAGCTGTCCAAACTGATGCTGGGTGTTTTCTCTTGTTGAATAATCCAACAAAACAAAAGGAGACCCGCCCAAGAGTGCGTCAACCCCTGGCGTCCTCCACCTCGGCTGCCCTCGCCGGAGGAGGAGAGACGATAGAGCAGGACACCGGAGATCCGCCATGGCCGCCGCCGCTGCTACCGGCGACCCTCCTGGTACGTGCTGCACAGCCTTGACCTTCCATCCTCCCCTCTCCTGCCCGTCTCTCAAGCTGAACAAGCTCCAAAAGAAGTTGCTTCTTTGATTGCAAAGTAGTATTTGTCGATTGTATCTCTTTACCGGATCTGCTGGTTACCTTGCCCCTGAATCGCCTTGTGTTTCCTTCTTCCCGTGGCCTCCAAGCACAGGCTACTTCGTCGGCCGGCCGTTGCACTACCAGGAGCAGCAGCCACAGGCGGTGCCGCCGCCGGCGCCCGCGCCCGCCGTCGACGACCACAACGCTGTGAACGCGCAAGTCCCTGGTGCGTTCTTGTTTCGGTTCATGCTTGCACGACTCAACTGCTTCCTTCCTGCCCTGATTTCACCTTCTCTTCTAAATTGTCCGTTACATTTCGTGTTAATTAGTTATCAAACTGGATCGGGATTTTTTTCCCTGGCACGAGCAGGTTACTACGCTGGGCGTGTGCAACCGAGACCAAGCGATGGCACTGGAAACAACAACAACAACAACAACAACAACAACGCTGATACTGCAGATCAGCAGAACCGAGAACCGAGCTTCTTTGCCAAATGGTAGGTAGTTTGATGCATTAATTGGGTCTAGAATCCCGAGGCTATTTTGGGATCAAATCTGCTGATTGCTGTCAGTTTCCACGGTTTGATGGTTCTCTGTTTGCTGTGCTCAGGTTCGGGTGCTTCTCCGGCAGCAGCTGAAATTCGAACTAGATCCAGGACATATCCCTCTTCTCGCAGTTCAGTGAAGGACATTTCTGGCTCAGCACGCGTCGCACTGGTGCTTGTCTGGACGGATTGCAGTTGCAGGGACATTCATATTGTCCATTCGTAGCATCTCACCTAGAGTCAATGAGGTTGTTCGTTGCAGAGGTTACCATCGATTTTCGCTGTGCCTACTTGTGTAAACCGAGGTTTTTCTTTCTATTTATATATGTGGTACTTTGTGTAAAGGTGGAGCATTTTGTGTATCTTTTGCAAAAAGACCCTTTGTATTTTGGATAATCAACCCACAGCCTAACTCATCCGTCCAGAACCGTAAATGTTTTCTAATATGTTTCGTATAGATCCCTAAACTAAATTTTATTTTTATATAAAGAAGGCAAAATTCTACAGTATTTATCAGGCGACTTATCGGCTAGAATCTACGGTACTTTTCTCTCACAACAAATCAGTTTCGGCCGGCTTATCAGCCGGCTTTAATAACAGCCGAACAAGCCCCTAAAATCGAGTCGTTGTTTCGAAAACACCCTTGCAACTTTCCAGAAACCCCCCCGCTCCCACCCTGCACCGCAGCCTGCCCCGACCACCCGATCCCTCTCTCCTTTCTGATCCTCTCCTCGCTCCTGCATCGACTCCAACAGCCTCGCTCCCGCATCGGCGCTTGGGTGGCGCCCGAATCCCTAGCCGCCGCCACATCTTCCCTACGCTGCCTTCCGCCTCGCCGTGTTCCCGCACCGGCGTCTTGGGTTGCGCCCAAAACCCTAGCCGCCGCCACCTCTTTCCTTCTCTCCACTCTACCTCGCCATGTTGGTGGAGTGCATCTGGACTGTGGGGGAGGCGGCGTGCTGCACAGCGACGCCGCGGGTGCTCGCATGCTGAGCAACAGCCCGGAGGCGGCGACGCGAATCAACGGTGCGGCCGAGCAACTTCTTCTTTTCCTTTCTCCTTCACTCATGTTCCCTTGGTTCGACATGGAGGGCGAGGTCCTCCGCGTGGATCTTGGCGCCAGCTGTCAGATCCGCGATGGGCTCCACCAGATCCATGCCTGGAGATCAAAATCGGTGGGAACCACGTCCTCCGTGGCGTGCCGTCGCCGGCCAGCAGCACACTTGTTCAGAGATCGCGGCCAGCCGGTCATGCAGGGACATGCCTATTATGCCTTTGATTAATATCATTTAGTTCCGTCCATGCTTTGATGTCCATGCTTCTAATAATTTTTCTCTTCACAGATGAAGCAAAGATGCTTAATCACAAAAATGGAGCACCCACCATTTGTCTCCACCAGTTGCGGTTGCAGCCAGCCCTTTTGTGTATGACCGTGTATTGGTCAGTACTTGGCGTTTGCCATTGCTGAATAAACATACTACTCTTGTTATCCTCAACTCTGCTACCTCCTGTTCTAAAGTCTAAAACTAAATTGCGTCCTTTGTGTTTTCTGCCGGAGAATGGAGCTGAGAATTTGGTGAGTGGATCTGATGCACAGTTTCTGTCAGTAAAAATTGAGTATCTACTTCTTGAAGGCCAAGCCTGTAGTTACTTTGCCTTATGTGAAATGAATGAGAGTAGTGGTTAGATCACAGATAAATAAACCCCTATCTGAACTGTTATGATTTGACATACATGCTGTGAGTGATTCGAAATAATCAGAGTAAAGAGAGAATTATAAATTTGGGACAGGACATATGAGAAGATCAGAACACTTTTAACCCCTTTTCATTTCCTGAAACAGACAAACAATGATATCCATTAGAAGCTTCTTATCTTACACATTGTTGTTAAGCTGTTACACCCTCCTGTAAAAGGTATAATGAGTCATGTTCCTTTCTAGGTGTATCTGTTTTTATCCTAACGTTTGGAGTGACTAAAAGGAGGAAATGATATTAAAAAAATAGTTCTGCATTCTTCTGTTCCTACAGAAAAATTTACACGATTGTGATTCCTCTATCCAGGTTCAACAAACTGCTATAGATGCCTACTATATCTAATTTAACTGTTACCTCCAAGTACTGCCTCTCATTACCGGAGTTCTAAGCTTTGTTGGACGATAAATGAACCCTTATTTGGATTGGAGCAGGTGTAATTTCCTGTTAAGATATCACATTTTGCTTTGATCTTTTAGTTCAGAGCTATTTTTTCTGTTAAAATTAGTAATAACTCCACTACAACTTTTTGAGGGGTTTAATTGCTTTTGCATCATCTGCTTCATGCCCTACTACTTTTTTGTCGGGCTCATTAAGGACATGTACAACAATGTTGTGACTAGAGTTCGAACAAGTGATGGAGACACGGATGACTTTCCGATTAGGATAGGACTACATCAAGGGTCAGCTTTGAGCCCTTATTTGTTTGCCTGAGTGATGGATGAGGTCACAAGGGGACATCCCTTGGTGTATGCTTTTCGCGGACGATGTAGTGCTAGTTGATGAAAGCCGGACAGGAGTGAATCAGAAACTGGAGTTATGGCGGGAGACTTTGGAGTCCAAAGATTTTAGACTCAGTAGAACTAAAACTGAGTATATGAGATGTTACTTCGGCATTACTACTCGGAAGGAGGAAGATATTAGTTTGGAAGGTCAAGTAGTGTCTAGGAAGGATACCTTTCGATATTTAGGATCAGTGCTATAGAGAGACGGGGATATTGATGAAGATGTTAGCCATAGAATCAAAGCAGGGTGGATGAAGTGGCGCTAAGCATCTGGTGTCCTATGTGACAAAAGGGTACCATAGAAGCTAAAAGACAAGTTTTATAGGACGGTGATTAGACCTACTATGTTGTATGGTGCAGAATGTTGGCCTACGAAAAGACGACATGTTCAACAGATAAGTGTCGCAGAAATGTGTATGTTGCGTTGGATTTGCGGTCATACAAGAAAGGATCGAGTTTGGAACGATGATATACGTGATAGATTAGGGGTAGCATGAATTGAAGAAAAGCTTGTCCAACACCGGTTGAGATGGTTTGGACATGTCCAACGGAGACCTCCAGAGGCACCGGTGCGTAGGAGAATCCTAAGGCAGGATAGTAACGTGAAGAGAGCTAGAGGAAGACCGAAGTTAATTTGGGTAGAGGCAATAAAAGGAGACTTGAAAGGATGGAATATACCCAAAGACTTAGCCTTAGATAGGAGTGCTTGGAAGACAGCTATTCACGTGCTTGAACTTTGATTGCTTCTGCTGGGTTTTAACTCTAGCCTACCCCCAACTTGTTTGGGACTTAAAGGTTTTGTTGTTGTTGTTGTGGTGGTATGTCTATAGATCGAAACACCAATTTGCTCAGCTAATTATGCCACTTCTGGGACTTGGATATTATTTTATTATATAATATATAAAGAGTATTCTAACTTAATCATCTGCCTGGCTATATCTCTTTCTTTTGCAGACTGCAATAACTGTTTGGACAACCTGTTGAGTTGGGCGTTGAAGATTTGTTAGGCCACTTATGTATAGCCACTTAATTATATACTGTATTTGCTCTCTCAGGCATAACAAAGGGTTCATGTTTGCCTATTGGCGTGCACTGCCAGTCTGCCACCCTACGGGTACGGGAAGCGCGCCTCTCATCCTATACATAAGTACTATGCCAAAAAGATGAATATATGACATTAAATGTAGAGTTCCCAACTAGATAATCTCTCCATGCTTGCAAGCAGAATAACTCCCCATATTGCATTTGCAGGCAGCTGGAGATAATGTTGACATCAACAACTTATCCATTGCTCTCCTGGACTAACAACATTCTCTAACCCAATAGATGTGCCCCTTCTAAGAGCATGTCTTCCTGTAATCCTATGGATGGTTAATGTTTTTGAACCATCGCAGCAAGTAGTAGTAATGGGATGTGCCACCTGATTCTTGTATGTTGTTGCTAATGGATCATGTCTGAGAACCTAAAGAGTAATGGAACCAGATTATTATATAGATTTATTAATTGTTTGTAAATTCAAAGACCATAATATTGTTGACAATTTATTCCTACCATTTGCAATGTCAACAGTTTGTTCCTGGCAGTGTTTGTGGTGGTGCAGTGGTGCAACTGCAGCTGAAAACAGCTGCTACAGAGTGGTTGCTTGGCTTGCTACTGCTGGCTATAGCTGTATAGCTGCTGCTGCTGCAGCTATAGGCTGCACTAATAGCTTCGTTTTTTTTTCTTGTCTTCTATCTTCAACTATATGAAGTTTATATTATCTGGCTTTAGTCTGTTATAGATCATGCAAGAATCTTAGAGCTTATATACACTCAAAAAATTTTAAAAAATAGTTTTGTCCTTTTATGAAACAAGAAAATCTTTGCTCTAATTTTGGCCATATAGTTTTATAGTTATAGGTTTTACCAAATGATCATGGGGCGCCTCATGTTCTAGAGTAACAAGCTGTATTGGATTGACACAGAAACAAGCCGTATAGCTTGTTGCTGAGCCTACTGAAATTCAAGACTGGTAGAGTATTCACGGGTTCTAGTTTTGTGTAAAGCTCAGTTGTCACAAGAGTTTTCACAACCAATGGTCTGTCTTTCCCAAAAATTCCAGCAGTGGAGAATTTGTTGAAGTACTAATTTATAACTCCATATAAGAAAGTAGGAAGAGTAAGTGTTTGTGAAATATTAGAGCCGCTATTAAATAATACGACTTTTTTAATAGAGTAAAGTGCATTTTTCGATCTTCAACTTGCATGGGAGTTTGATTTTCGACCCTAAACTATGAAACTAGATACTGGACGCCCTCCAACTAGCGAAACAGGACAAGTTTACTTCTTTAGCTTGTTTCAAAGCTAGTTTTCTATTTTTTCTAAAATAATAAAAACCTTTTTTAATACCCATAAATTGATAACTTATTTATTTTAAATCAGAAAAAAATGTGAAACTAACAACATTTTCCGTAAAAAATGTTATTTATCTATTGGTAGTCTATTTCGAGTTATTTGAATCTTATTTATTCATGTTTCTAATAAACCAAACCACAAGCAATAAAACAATAGAAACAG